CCTCTCCCTCCCCCCCCCCCCCCCCCCCCCCCCCCGTTCATCTTTAAGGAGGAGTTATGTGAAACCTGAAAACTCACTTCTTCAGGTATTTTTTGGCATATTATATTACTGTGGCTGTTCGGGATTTATTTGTATAAATCCCGAACGTTGGCACGGGCAAATTTCGGCCCTCCAGGTGTTTTGGACTTCAACTCCCACAATACTTAACAGTCTCGGGCCCCTTCCTTTCCTTTTCCGCTTAAGCGGCTGAGAGGGGGAAGGAAAAGGTCCGAGGCTGTTAGGAATGGTGGGAGTTGAAGTCCAAAACACCTGGAGGGCCCAAGTTGGCCCGTGCCTGGCTTAGCATGCAGGACCCCAAGACACTGGTTGGCTCACTCTAGTCTAGATCCATTAAATCCATTGGATCTACATAAGGATAGACTCTTGACATGGACATCAATAGATGGTATCACTGGCCAACACACATTTTGATGCCTCGAATATTAGCCCTGTTTCTGAGTCTATTTGACTTGTTGATTCCAAAAAATGGGACCAGTTTTTTCTCTTATCAGCTCTAGTTTTAGAGATATAGTCTTCATATATATGGTCTTCGCCCATAGGAAACCATTATAATTATATTCAAGAAACTAGATCTGATGCGGTCTACCCAATGCAATGTTCTGATTCAGTTCCCAAATAACCCCGGGAACAGACCTAAAAACCAAGATACCAATATTTTTTTGTTGGGAGGTGTAATGCTTGGCTAACTTTGGGGAAGCCCCCGTGGCGCAATGGGTTAAACCCTTGTGCCGGCAGAACTGCTGACCAAAAGATAGGCAGAACGAATGCAGAGCGGGGTGAGCTCCCGTCTGTCAGCTCCAGCTTCTCATGAGGTGACATGAGAGGAGCCTCTGACAGGATGGTAAAACATCTGGGAAACATCCTTGCAGACAGCCGATTCTCTCACACCAGAAGCACTTGTCTCTCCTGACACGAAAAAAATGCTTAGTAAAGTGGAAATGGATAGACTCAGTCAAAGAAACAGGGGCCCTGAGTCTGGGGATCCCAGACTCATCTACAGTCTGAAATGCTGTTAAACCGCATTATATGAGTCTCCACTGACTATTGGGGACAGTTTGAAACTGCGTTATTATATGGCCATGTAGATGGGGCCTAGCAGACCTGTGCAGCGTTCGTGATAGTGTGATTTGGAGGAATCTCATTCCTTGGGGAGTCATAAATGGAAGTCCATTAATTGTTTGCAAAGCAGGTTTAAACTCGGAGAAGGGGAGCCATGAAAATCTGAGGAAAGACCGTCAACTATTGAAAAGATGGAGATGACACCATTATTCTACTGCTACTACTTGGAACCATTCCTGAAACAAAGAAGAAAGGGCAAGGTCAGGTTTGTGTGTGTGTGAGGAGCAACTTTATAAACTGCAAGTCGCTTCTGGTGTGAGAGAATTGGCCGTCCAGATGTTGCCCCGGGGACACCCGGATGTTTTGATGTTTTGCCATCCTTGTGGGAGGCTTCTCTCATGTCCCCGCTCGGAGAGCTGGAGCTGACAGATGGAAGTTCACCTCGTTCCCCTGATTCCAACCTGCGACCTGTCGGCCTTGAGTCCTGCCGGAACAAGGGATTAATTTTAACTATGAGACGCTAATGAGATGTTTTATTGATTTATATTGACTGTTTATTATGCTACTGTTTTAATTGTTTTTAACTGTTTTATTATGTTTTTGAGCATTGAATTTTGCTATTGTTAACCACTCTGAGTCACCCGAGGGCTGAGAAGAGCACTATACAAATATAGTAAGTAAGTAAGTAAGTAAGTAAGTAAATAACCCATTGTGCCACCGGGCAGGTTAAAAAGCAGGAGTGGGATTAATTAATGAAGTAAGTCCGGCACTTTTCACTCCCATAGATTTCAAGGAAAACCCTAACCCTAACTTTGTCCCCATCGCGGACTAAGATGTTGTTTTTATTCTCGTCAACAACAGAAATAGGCGACTTCGGCCAGATCCTCCAGGCAGTCCTACTGATTCATTTAAAAAAAAAAAAAAATCCCAGAACTCGCTTCTCCAAACAGGCCTGAATCGAATGAGATCTCAAAAAAGGAAACACCAGGAAAAGTGGGGCGGGGAAGAGGGCCGTCGTTGAGACCTCCCTCAGCAATAACGGTAAGGGATGATGGGAAGTACAATCCAAATTAAAAAAAAACATCTGGCTTAACCCTGGACGAAAGGGCGCCTCTTTTACAAAAGGCCTGTCTCAGTGTGGCCAAGAAATCCTCACCAGATAAAGCCATGCATGCTTCATCTGGTGCCTTCTAACTCAGTTTGATTGGCTGCATAAGGTTTCTGTTTTTTGGGGGTTTTTTGTTGTGTCAGGAGAGACTTGAGAAACTGCAAGTCGCTTCTGGTGTGAGAGAATTGGCCGTCTGCAAAGACGTTGCCCAGGGGACGACCGGATGTTTTGATGTTTTACCATCCTCGTGGGAGGCTTCTCTCATGTCCCCGCATGGGGAGCTTGAGCTGACAGAGGGAGCTCATCCGCATGGGGAGCTGCAGCTGACAGAGGGAGCTCAACCGCGCTCTCCCCGGATTCGAACCTCGAACTTGTCAGTGTTCAGTCAGTGTTCAGTCCTGCCGGCACAAGGGTTTAACCCACTGCGCCACAGGGGGCTCCTAAGGCTTCTGTTAAGGAGAAGGAAAGGCGAGGAAAACCTCGCTTGGGAAGCCCTGTCCTTCTCTATATTTAGTCAAGTTCGGACTGTGAACACGGAGAAGGGTTTTTTTTTTTGTTTTAGTTTTTTTTTTTTTGGTCGTGTCAGGAACGACTTTGAGAAACTGCAAGTCGCTTCTGGTGTGAGAGAATTGGCCGTCTGCAAGAACGTTGCAAGGACGGAGGAGGTCGGAAAACACGCAAGACGCTTCCGAGGAGCTGGAAAACCGAGGAGAGCAACTTTCCCGCTCTCCAGGCCAGGCCCAAAGGAAAAGAGGCCTCGGAGGGAGGATCTTCACTCGAGAATGAAGGTAGTTTGACACTGCTAACTGCCCCCCCCCCCCCCACTTAACTGTGAGAGAAATAAGATTGAACACCGTGAAAGCCCCCCACTGCATAGCTATCAGCCTCCTCCCAGTAGACTTAAATCAAGGAAAAGCTTCATGAGAAAGACAACTCCTCTTAACGTTCCCTCAGCAACAGCAAGAATATCCCTGCGGGCAGGAAAATAAGACTATTCTGACTGAATGGCCCCTCAGGAGGGTCTTCCTCCAGGGGCAAACCAATGGACAACTTGGAAGTCCCTGAACAGACTCAGAAGTGGAGTGGGCAGATCAAAAGACAACCTGGCAAAATGGCACTAGCTAAAAGAATCCCCCACCTTGTGCGACTGTAGAGCAGAACAAACAACTCCGCATCTGTATGTCCTCAGTGTCCTGCCTCATGTACAGAGGAAGAACTGTTTGAGGCTACAGACAATGTGGTAGCTGTAAAAAAATAGTTTTATACTAATTTAAGTATAATTATTAAGTATAATTTAATTTAAGGAGCCCTCGGTGACGCAGTGAGCTTCTGAACTTGTTGACGGAAAGGTCGCAAGTTAGAATTCGGGGAGTAGCATAGCCTCCCGCAGTCAGCCCCATCTCCTGCCAACCTAGCAGTTTGAAAACATGCAAAAGTGAATAGATCAATAGGTAGAGCTCTGGCAGAAAGGTAAGGGTGCTCCATGGACTTAATGTCAGGGGAAATTCTTTACCTTTACTTATACTAATTTATGCAATGCTTCTAATACGAAATAAATAAACTGCGAATGCAATCATGGGTATTGTCGTTTTTCAAGGGCTTCTCTGCTTGTGCCTCACCAAACTGCAACTCCCAAGATTCTATAGCAGTGGTTCTCAACCTGTGAGTCCCCAGATGTTTTGGCTTTCAACTCCCAGAAATTCTAACAGCTGGTAAACTGGCTGGGATTTCTGGGAGTTGTAGGCTAAAACACCTGGGGACCCACAAGTTGAGAACCACTGGTTTATAGCATTGAGCCGTTGCAGTGAAGGTGGTGTCAAGCTGCCTTCATTCCACACTGCAGAGGCTCCCTTCCTCCCAGGTCAACGTGCCCTGTTGAGTTTCCTCTATTCATCTCCAAATGGTTCCTTCATATGCTGCTCACACATACTATTTGCATGATTGGGGTCAAATGCTGGTGCCTATCACAGGGTGTGAAAACAAATCTCCTGTTTTATAAAATCTCTAGAAATCCTTCTTCACCAATAGGCAGGGAGGCCTTTTTTAGACCTCCAACTGAAAGACTTCTTTGACCGCGACAGGGAATTCTGTATTTCAAGACCTAGAGTCGCTCCTCCAGAAGCGCATTCGCACAGGACGGTCCCTCTCCACGGTCTCCTGCCGGAAGTGGCCCACGCGGGTTTCCGGCAGGACTGACCTGACCCACATCCCTTTCCACGTCCGTCACGAAGATGACTGACAGCTTGAATGGCATCCGCTTCCGCCCCACCGCCGACAAACGACAGCCAACGGAAACCCACCACCGCCTCATGCCAGAGATTCCCACTTACTGGCAGGACTGAAGACCGACAGGTCTGAAGTTCGGATCTGGGGGAAAGCGCGGGTGAGCTCCCTCTGTCAGCTCCAGCTCCCTATGCGAGGACATGGGAGAAGCTTCCCACAAGGATGGTAAAATATCAAAACATCCGGGCAACGTCCCCTGGGCAACGTCCTTGCAGACGGCCAATTCTCTCACACCAGAAGCGACTTGCAGCTTCTCAAGTCGCTCCTGACACAAAAAGAAGAATTCAAGCTGTGAAGCCATTTCCAAGGTGCATCTACACCAGGCATGGGCAAACTCCCGCTCTCCAGGTGTTTTGGACTTCAACTCCCACAATTCCTAACAGCCGGTAGTCCCCCCAAAAAGGCAAAAAATAAAACCGCAAATCTTGGGCCCTTTCTTAACTCGCTAGCGATGGTCTAAGGCAAAGAAGGCATTGGAGTACTCATGCCAAACTGTTCATAAAATATTTTTATTGAAATAAATTCAGTTATCTTCATATTAATTCAACCCGAGTGGGAAAGAGTTTCAGGGAAGAGGCCCCTCCGTCCGCGCCCTCTGGCTCTGCGGGCAGCAAGCGCCCTGATCCTCTGCCCCACCAGGCCAAAAGAGGCCTAGGAAGCCCAAGGCCTTGACCTCCCTCCCTCCCACCCAGGGACACGTCTCCCTTCTGCGGAGGGGCAGCTCAACACGCAGAAGGAAGAAATGCAGCAGAACCGACGGGGAGGACAGCAGCCCACTAACCATTTGGCCACCCTTCTGGTTCCTCTCGCTTCCTCCTCGGCGCCTCAGCAGCTGCGTAATAACAGGACCGCCTTGCACGGCCCTCGAGTCCGTGTCCCGCGTCCTCCAAGGCAATCCACGCGAGGTCGAGTCGCCTGGCAAGGTCCAAGAGCAAGCGTGGAAAGCCTTTCTCCTCGCGGCAGGGAGTCCCCAAAAGTCCTCACGCGCAGAGCGGGCGGGCAAAAGGCCCCAGGAGCCCACGCCGAGTCCGCGCGTGGGCGCTGCCGCGTGGGCTGAAGCTATTCCTCCTGGCTGACGTGGCCGGGGGAGCCGAGGCTCTCGGGCTGTCGCTCCAGCTCCTTCGTCCGCTCTTGCTCCGTCAGCTGCTCGCTGGTCGGGATGGAGTTCTTCTTGGGGCGCCCTTTGGGCTTAGTGGGGGACTCCAGCCCTCCGCCTTGAAGGACCTGCGGAGACAAAAGTGGTAAGGTTCAAGGAAAGGCAGGCAGGCGAAGGAAGAGACCCAACTAGGAAAATACGTGCTTCAAGAAAGGGAAAAGTAATGGTTTCCCCTGACATTAAGTCTAGTCCTGTCCGACTCTGGGGTGGTGCTCATTTCGAACTGCTTGGTTGGCAGAAGCTGGGGCTAACAACGGGAGCTCACCCGCTCCCAGGATTCGAACATCCGGAGATCCATTATATATACATATACATGCATACATACATACATATCTATATCTATATAAATAAAAATATAATGTTCGTTTGTGGAATTAATACAACTCAAAACCTCTGGACAAACTGACACCAAATTTGGACACAATACACCTATCAGGCCAACAAGTGACCATCAGTCATAAAAACACTGAAAAACACAGTGGAGGAGACTTAAAAAGCCAAAAAAATAAATAATACATTACAACGCATGCGCAGAACCACACAAACACACATATATACAAATATACACAAATATATACACATATATGCACATATATACAAACACAAAACACATATACACAGACTGGGCAACAGCAAAGGTTGGCAGGGGAGGCTAGTACTGTGTGTGTGTGTGTGTGTGTGTGTATAGTGAATCCTGTAATTATTTGTCTTTGTGTCTATCTTGAAGTGTGTGTGTGTGTGTGTGTGTGTGTGTATCTATATAAAATCTCACCATAGTAACCTGGAAAACACCTAATCTGACCTGAGGCTTTGCTGCTATCTGGTTTACACTACTTAATGGGCCAGAATACTTTGAGCACTGGGCTATGACTCTGGAGACCAGCATTTGAATTCATGCTCAGCCATGAAAACCCACTGGGTGACCTAAGGAAATTCAGACTTTCTCAGCTTCAGGGGAAAACAAAGGCAATCCCCTTTGAACAATTCTTGTGGAGGGAACCCCATGATAGAGTAGACACAAGCTGGAAACCACTGGAAGGCAGCAGCAATGGGTTAAGCACCATCATCTTTTCTTCCACCTGGCATGGTCAGTGCTTGGGTTTTGAGCGTGAACTTAGCAGGCAGCCATGACACAGGCCATCCTTTCTGAGCCTCACTGTGCCTCCATGTGTTGAGGTGAACACCTTGTTTGTTGAAGTTCTACCTCCCATAGTTCACTCTTTGCTTGAAGCAAACTCTCTTGCTTCAAGGAGCCAGGATTTTTGTGGCTGTTGGATCTGGAAAAACAATTACTCTCAAAACCCTCTTTGCTAACAGTAAAGCTACCTGCTGACTTATTCGTAGGAGGTCTTTTCTGAACTGGTTTTATTGCCCTTGATTCTGCATCCACAAAGAAATCTTGTAGCCTTATGAAAGTAGCTGGAAGAAAGAGGTTCAACCTTTTATAGATTCTGGGCCCTTCCACACCGCCCTATATCCCAGAATATCAAGGCAGAAAATCCCACATTATCAGAGTGTGGACTCCAATAACCCAGTTATTGAGGTTTGGCCTTGTCTTCCTCTGAGGCTGAGAGAGTGTGATTTCCCCAAGACTCCTCAGTGGATTTCATGGACAATCAGGGATTCTTACCCTGATCTCCAGAGTCCTCCCCAATGTTCAGACCATTAAACCATGCTTGTTCACATTATGTTATTAAGTTTCATATTATGTTCCATGTTAGGGACTTATTTGGAAGGAACTCTCATTACTCTGTCCCCAGATCAAATTCTCACATACCGGCAACATGAGGCAACTTGCATCTGTGTCCCCCCCCCCCAACTTGACAAATGCAATTTAGTCCCCTAAATGTACATTTATAGAATTATTATTATGATATATAATGTTGATGTGTCAAGTCTCATTTATGTCAATGAAGTTAATTTCCACCTATGTGTGAATAGAATGGCCTCTCTCCTTACTTTGAAATAAGCATGGGCAAGATCAGCATATAAGGTGCTGACTTTAAGCAACAAAAATAAACATTACATCATCTCATTAAGGCCAGCAAGTGCTATTTAGGGAAGATTACAGCCTCTCCCTCTCCCCAAAAAGCTTAGGCAAATCATGATATTGTTTTGGAAAATCAGCTTCATGTTACTTGAATCACTCTCAGGCATTCCTGTGAAATCCTTGATCACCACCACATTAAAATTCCATATTTCAACCATTAGTAAATAAAGGTTGGATCCAGAATGCTTTACAATGACATAATCCTCACTGACTATTGTGTGTCACATCTGCCTTTAAGTCTCCTGTAGATTTATGGTGACCCCATGAATTTCAAAGGCAAGGAACAGTCACAGATTCTGCTACTTTCTTCCTCTGAAATAAGGCCTACTGCACCTGATTTTACCAGAACTTAACTTCACCACTACTAATTTGCCTCATAGGCTTCTGCTAGACTAAAGCTTGAGTATTTGGTCTTATATGGATGTTCAGTACACTAGTTCAACCCTGGTGAAATGTGCTTAGGATTGTTGGAAATAGCAACTTTCTCAAGCCCCCAATAGTTATTTGTTGTGTATATAATTCAGATTGTTTACTGTATTGTATATGTGTGTATTGGTAGGCAATTTTACTTTAACTCTTTGTTGTGGGAAGGGCTGCAGACTATGTGATCAGAACTGGGTTTATTCAGGACTCAGACTCTGTTTTAGGAACAGTATGCTGTACAGAACCCATTATACTCCATTGGACTTTCAGAATAGACAGAGATTCTATTAGACTCTCAGAACAGAGGGATGCTTTAGATTATGAGAAAGATGCCCTGTGTTACCTACATAGAAAAACTACTTCAAATCTACTTGTAATTGGATTGATAAGCAAAGTACCTGTATACTAAATACATGAAGTTTGTGGGTAACCTATGTTACTTTTAAAGAAGTCTGCTTATTTTGTCTCTTTAGAGCATGATTTAAAGGCAAATATATTTTAAGGGAGAGTAGATGTTTTGGGGCAACGTCAAAGAACACTTCTGAAACTCTGCTGTATATGTGTGTGTGTGTGCGTGTGTGCACGCGCGCATTGGCATATCTTTGTTCCTAACAGTTCAAAGACATACCTAGGTACATCCATTTAACAGCTGAGAAACCTAATTGTCTTGCATGAATGCTGGTGAATGCGATTTTCCCAAAAGGGTATGACTCTAACAGGTCATGCTTTTTACCAAGAGGTTTGGACATCATTTTTCAAAAGGTGGAGACTTCTAACAAGGTTGCAACTTTACTCTGGATCCAGTCCTGTCTAATTACAAAGCCAGAGACTACAGTCTTCATCACTGTGCCAGAAGAGCCAAACCCAGTGCATCCCTATTAATCTTAGTGGGGATTGTAACCTGGACAAGCAGTGTAACTATCTCTGACACAGCTGAATCACAGTAAGTCGGTCATGTTGAAATATTGAATCACAGTAACTCAGTCATGCCAAAAATTTTGGACTGAAGTCCTTTCTGGTCAGTTCAGCTGGATAAATGTCAAAGCTGAGATCTTTCATTCTACTACTAGGCACTGAGATCACCATTTGGGAAAGATATTCTACCATAGTGGCTTCCATTCTACTTTGTTATGTTTTCAGAATGAGGAAATCAGTGTCCACTGCACATGGCTTATCCTGAGGAATATCGACTGTGTAAGTCAGTGTTTCTCAACCTGGGGTCGGGACCCCTGGGGGGGTCACAAGGGAGTATCAGAGGGGCCGTCAAAAATCATCAGAAAACACAGCTTTTTTCTGTTGGTCATGGGGGGTTTTGTGTGAGAAGTTTGGCCCAATTCTATCATTGGTGGGATTCCAAATGCGCTTTGATTATAGGTGAACTATAAATCCCAGCAACTACAATTCCCAAGTGTCAAGGTCTATTTTCCCCAAACTACACCAGTATTCACATTTGGGCATATTGAGTATTTGTGCCAAGTTTGGTCCCGATCCATCATTGTTTGAGTTCATAGTGCTCTCTGGATGTAGGTTAGCCACAGCTCCAAAACTCAAGGTCAATGCCCACCAAACCCTTCCAGTATTTTCTATTGGTCATGGGAGTTCTGTGTGCCAAGTTTGGTTCAATTCCATCATTGATGGAGTTCAAAATGCTCTTTGACTGTAGGTGAACTATAAATCCCAGCAATGACAACTCCCAAATGACAAAATCAATCCTTGCCCAACCTCACCAAATTTGGGCATATCGGGATTTGTGCCAAATTTGGTCCAATGAATGAAAATACATCTTGCATATCAGATTATTTACAATTCATAACAGTAGCAAAATTACAGTTATGAAGTAGCAACGAAAATAATTTTATGGTTGGGGGTCACCACAACATGAAAAACTGTATTAAGGGGTCATGGCATTAGGAAGGTTGAGAAGCATTGATGTAAGTGCAATTCAGTTTAGTGATACTTTCTGTCAATGTTTTTAGGACTGGGGTAAGCAGGTGAAGGGGCTGGGGTAGAGAGAAAAATATGTTATAACCACTAGAGTAAGGGTAGAGGATCAGTGGATCTGATCTGATTGGTAAAAGTGAGAATTGTATTTCAGCAGCACTGCTTTGCCTTCCACCTCAGAATGTCTGAAGAAACTTTCTTGCACCACCTGGTCTCCCAGATGTAAGGACACCTACCATCCAAGCAATTTGGACACTGAATGGCCAGGGATACTGTTAATTGGCGCATACTCTATCTGAAAGGATCTTGTTTGGAAGCTATACATCTACCTCCTCCCCTTTTTCCAGGTGGCCAAGAAATGTCATTTGGTTGCCCGGTTATTTTTCTCTGTGGCTGCCCTTATAGGCAAAATATAGTCTTAGAATCATAGAGTTGGAAGAGGGCTATCCAGTCCAAACCCCTACCAAGAAGCAGGAAAAATGCATTCAAAGTTACTATTGAACACACTTACTATTTTCTTCCATTTCATTCGCCTGTTTTGGTACCAGGTTTTCACTTGTAGTTGACTCAGGCCCAGGGATTCTGCCAGGTCTATCCTGCAGGGAAAAGAAAGGAAATGTCTTGGATAGATACATCTGTCTCCCTAGATTTCACCCTTCCCCTTCTGTAAACTGGTTACTCTCTTTCCAGGATTTCTAGCACAGCCTCTGTATATAAAGCAGAACTAGAGAACCTGTGGTGTTTCAGGTGTTGCTCCAGGCCCAGCTCCAGGTTTAAACTGAAGCTAACTAAGATACAGCATTAGGCTTTCAACTTCAAGGTCCTCATATTAGGGGGAGCTTCTGAATAAATAAGAAAATGAAAACACCAGACAAATTACAGTGTAGATCCACCCAAAGTGACCTCACAGAATTGCTATGAGACTCAGTGAGAGGATAACAGGACTGTAGGGATAACGAGGAATAAATATGTTAACAGCATCTATAGTTGGGTTGCTGTGAGTTTTCCGGGCTGTATGGCCATGTTCCAGAGACATGTCCCCTGATGTTTCGCCCACATCTATGCCCGGCATAAACATGGTGGTGCAACGGGTTAAACCGCTGTGCTGCTGAATTTACTGTCCAAAAGGTTGGTGGTTCTAATCGGGGAGTGGGGTGAGCTCCCACTGTTAGGTCCTGCTCCTGTCAACCTAGCAGTTCAAAAACATTCAATTGTGAGTAGATCAATAGGTTCCGCTCAGGTTGGAAGGTAACGGTGCTCCATGCAGTCATGCTGGCCATGTGACCTTGGAGGTGTCTATGGGCTCTTCGTCTTAGAAATGGAGATGAGCACCACCCCCCAGAGTCGGACACGACTAGACTTAATGTCAGGGGAAACCTTGACCTTTTATGGCAGGCATCCTCAAAGGTTGTGAGGTCTATTGGAAACTAAGAAAGCGAGGTTTATATATCTGCATGCATCTATCTTTTTTTTTGTTGCTAGTGTCAATGGTAGCCTTCTTGGAGTGGTTCTGTGAAACCATTCTTGTTCCCCTGCCCTCTACAATCAAATATGACTCTGCCAAGGGTTGCACCAGTGTAAGCAAATGTCCATGTTATTGCAGGTGGGCAGGCACGGAGGCGGGCAGGCGGGGGCGCCTGGGCTCACCTGTCCGGCGTGGAGAGGTACTTCTGCTTCTCGAAGCGCTTCTCGAGGCCCATCAGCTGCAGCTCGGTGAAGACGGTGCGGCTGCGGCGGCCCTTCTTGGCCTTGGCCCCGGCCTCGGCGCAGGCTCCGGCCTCTAGCTTCCCGCGGAGGTGGAGCTCGAGGGGCAGGTGCGGAGGGCCCGGCGCGCCGGGGAAGCCCGGGCCAGAGCCCCCCGCCGCCAGCAGCGCCGCCGCCGCCGCCCCCGCGCTCAGCCCCGAGCAGCCCAGCGGCGCCCCCGACGACAGAGGGAACTTGAACACCGCCGCCGCCGCCTGCTCCGCTTTCAGGACCGCTGCAAGGGAGAGAGAAAAAAGAGAAGGAAGGAAGGAAGGAAGGAAGGAAGGAAGGAAGGAAGGAAGGAAGGAAGGAGGGAGGGAGGGAGGGAGGGAGGGAGGGAGGGAGGGAGGGAGGGAGGGAGGGAGGGAGAGGAAGGAGGGAGGGAGGAAGGATGGAAGAAAGGAAGAAGAAAGAAGAAAGAAGGAAAAGGATGGGAAAGAAGGAAGAAAGGAGAAGGAGGAAGGAAGAAAAGGAGGAAAGAAGGAAGGAAGATGGAAAGAAGAGAAGGAGGAAAAGAAGGAAGGAAGGAAGGAAGATGGAAAGAAGAAGGAAGGAAGGAAAGGAAGGAAGGAAGGAAGGAAGGAAGGAAGAAGGAAGGAAGGAAGGAAGGAAGATGGAAAGAAGGAAGGAAGGAAGGAAGGAAGAGAAGGAAGGAAGGAAGGAAGGAAGGAAGGGAGGAAGGAAGGAAGGAAGGAAGGAAAAAGGAGGGAGGATGGAAGGAAGGAAGGATGGAAGGAAGGAAGGAAGAAAAGAAAGAAAAGAAAGCGAGAGAGAGCACGGTGACTCCGGAGCCAAAAAGATTTCGCCACCGCCCCTCAGCCCCAGCCTTCCCCCTCTCCAGAGCTCTGGAAAATCACTTTGGAGGGACTGCACCTCCCAGAATCCCCCATCCTGGGCATTCTGGGTTGTATCCCATGAGTTAGGGTGCATCTCCCTAACTCATGGGACATAACTTTTAACTGTCATGGCCCAATATGATGGAATCATGGGCGTTGTTTGTGTTGTGGAAGGCTTCCATGGCCGGAATCACTGGGTTGCTGTGAGTTTTCCGGACTGTATAGCCATGTTCCAGAAGCATTCTCTCCTGACGTTTCGCCCACATCCATGGCAGACATCCTCAGGGGTTGTGAGGTTTGTTAGAAACCAGGCAAGTGGGGTTTATATATCCATGGAATGTCCACGGTGGGAGAAAGAACTCTTGTCTGCCTGAGGCAAGTGTGAATGTTGCAGCTGGACTTGATTAGGACTGAATAGCCATGCAGTTTCAAAGCCTGGCTGCTTCCTGCCTGGGCGTTGTAGTTTCACAAGGTCTTTAGCTTCCTCTGCCCAAGTGGGCGCGTGCCTCTTATCAATCCACGGCCAATCGACATAAATTCTACATCTTTTTTTGCTTAGCATTTCGCCATTGTGGCGTTCTCCATGCAAGGAACTGAAACCCAAATTGAATTGCGCCTCAGGGCGCATCTCCACGGTAGAATGAATGCAGTTTAGTACCACTTTCACTGCTATGGCTTAATGTTATGGATGGCTGGGATTGAGAAGGTCTTTACCCTTCTCTGCCAAAAAGTAGGGAGCCTCAACAAACTGCAGATTCCAAGATTCCAACGTGCCAACAATTATGGCTGTTCTTCCAACTCCTCCTTCTTTCTCTAATCCTCCCTTGTCATTTTCTCGGGCTCCTCTAAACCATTTGAACCTCCACCAGGAGGATTAGTCGCTATTGTTTTCTATGCTCCCAGACTCCATAGTCTTTGGCTCGTTGGAATATTCTGGAACATACAGCCCGGACCACCAACGCGACACCATGTAGCACGAATTTTGTTCCTGGGTTATAAATGTCATTTCCTAATTGGTTCTATCATAAAAACATGGAAAAGGTTTATTAAACTGCAGAAGCTTTGTTTTTGCGGGACATCCGGCAGCACATATTGCTGTAGTTTTTTAATGAATTCTCAACCAATTCAACATAGTTTGTAGCAGTCACAAAGACAAAGTTTCCCGGGTATAACAACTACTTTCAAAGTCAGTACCGCACAATTAAACAAGAAATAACACTTCAAAACCAGGAACAGATTTCCCCCCAAATTTTGTTAGTTAGTTGATGCACTTTAGGTTCCAGATCTGAAGTGAGGAAAGTTCTTAGAATGTATCAACGCTGTACAATCGTGGTGTTGATACATGCCATACAAAGGCCTCAACAACATATCATGCGATTTGTAGTTTGCATTTGAAATTATTTGCCAAAGGGTTCTGGTACTGTAATCCAGAACCGTGTATTGGGATTATGTAAATGCTTAGAGCATTCAATGTGCATGCAAGATGCTTAGTTTTTCCAACACAGTGGGCCACAGTGTCGGATACTAAATTGCACTGTTATTAACTGTCAACTTCAGATAGTTTCCGATCTATGGCGGCCTTAAGGCGAATCTGACACTGTTGTTCAGATTTGTTCCAAATGGGTGTGCCTCGTCCATTGCCATTACCTATTTCAGGACACCAAATCCCGAGAGTTAAAGTGAGATAGGACTGCTATCATTGTAAAATGTAACTGGCAAGATTCATTCAAAGGAGGGAGGGTTGACTCCAACTCCCAAATGCAAGGCTTCACCTCGTATGTGGAGGAGCCCTTCTCTGGGAAGTCTCCCCGAAGAACAACTGCAGAAGATACACCGTGGGTTCCCTGTGGAGGCTTTTTCAGCCTTCGGAAATCCCAAAGTTCAGGAAGGGGAACATCCTGTGGGAACCAGGACTGCTTTTCTAAAAGTATTTATCTGGCAGTTCACCTTAATGTAACAAATAGTATTTATTTCCGAGTTAATGTGGCTGGAATTGAGCTGTTCCCGTTGTAGGAGAAAATGTGCAAAGCCAACCCATCGACACTGCCAAATAATGCAGTTTGTACTACATTATATGGTTAGTGGAAACCCATTTAGATGCTGTTCAGTGCATTATATGGGTCTACATTGATTGTATAATGCAGGGTTGTTGTTTTGTGTGTGTCAGGAGCGACTTGATAAACTGCAAGCCTGGTGTGAGAGAATTGGTCGTTGCCCTGTCCCCACATGAGAAGCTGGAGCTGACATACGCGACCTCACCCTGCTCCCTGGACCTTTCTGCCTGCACAAAGGTTTAACCCAGGGGTCCTCAAACTAAGGCCCGGGGGCCAAATACGACCCTCCAAGGTCACACACAGAGGGACGCTCCGGATGTAAGCTATTGCTGCTGGAAAACCAGTGTTCAGGTATCAAACTGCATTAGTTCTACAGCGTGGATGTGCCCTCTGAGGTAGGTTCTTCCACCTTTTTTCACCAAAAAACAAAAAAAATGCCTTTAATTCTTTCCCACCTGCAGACATAACAATAGATTTGGAGTAGTAACAATAGTAATGAGGAAAGTAAACACACTAAAGCAGGGGTCCTCAAACGAAGGCCCGAGGGCCGGGTAAGGGCCTCCAAGGTCATTTACCCGGCCCTCGCTCAGGGTCAACCTTAGTCTGAAAGAACTTGAAAGAATACAACAATAACAATCCTCTCTCATCAGCCAAAAGCAGGCGACATTTAACAACAGCAAAAGTGCAACCCTCAGAAATAAATTCCTACTGAGTTCAATGGGGCTTGCTCCAAGCTAAATGTGGGTATGGCTGCAATTTTGGGGGATCTGCGCTACGAGGCCAACAACTTCTTTGGGTGCCAGTTTTGGTGAGGAGCTGGCGCTTCCGTTTCAGAAACATGAAAGCGCCCTGCCTATGGTCTGTCTAAGGAGGGGGGTGGATCTTCTTGGGCGAGGGACGCTTGATTGCAGTAGTCCTTTGATCGATGGATGGACTACTTTGATTGATGGGAGACCAAGGTTCGAATCCCTTGGAAACCCATTGGAGCACCTTGGTCTTGCTTTTCACGCGACTGTCCTGCTTCTTGGCAGAAGGGGGTTGGACTGGATGGCCCACGAGGTCTCTTCCAACTCTATGAGTCTATGGTCAAGTCACACACTCTCAGCCTCGGAGGGAGGCAAAGGCAAGCCTCCTCTGAACAAATCCTGCCAAGACTTGAAGGCACAGAACAATAATACCAACGACGTCACTGTCACTGAAATACCTTCCCAAGAGTCTCCATTAGGGAAGTGGAAATGGCAATCAGCAAACACTGAGTTTGGGTTTGGAAGTTTGGTTTGGAGCGGCAGTTGGTCTGTAAAGTGCTCCCGCCCCAATTGAGACCTTTCATCCAACTGCTGTTGTCTGTCATCTTTGATACTTTGCCCGAGAAGCAACAAGTCAAAGAAGTGTCCGACATTTGCAGAGCATAGAGGGACGTATTTAAATGCCTCTTTGTTGTTTGCAAAAGATACTATTTTCAGATCTGGAATTAAAATAAATTCTCTCAATATCTCTGGAAAATTCAGAAAAAATGTTTTGGTTCCCTTACATTTCAAATAGTATGTTTCGGAAATGGCTACCACCCACCCACACGCACAAAAAAATCCTATGCAAACTACCATTGCTTCAAAAACGTATTTCAGCGTTCTGTGGAAATCCATGCCATATTTTTCCATTGCATAAACTATAAATATTTTTTTAAAAAAATATGATCCGAGTCTACCGACTTGGGAAACCTTCCTGCTGCTGTCATTTATCTTTGAGTCTGTTTCATAGCTCGACCCACTAGCAGCCAATACTAGTGTTTTAAAACAGTTGGATGAAATTGAGATATATTTCAGTTCTACACGGTGTGGAACAGTATACAACAGGCATGAGCAAACTTGGATGGTTTGGACTTCAACTTCAACAATTCCTAACAGCCTCAGGCTCTTTCCTTTTAAGCGGCTGAGGGGGAAAAGGAAGGGGCCTCAGGCTGGTAGGAATTGTGGGAGTTGAAGTCCAAAACACCCGAAGAGCCCAAGTTTGCCCATACCTGGTATATAGTTAATGTGGTTTGAATGCTGGATTAAGACTCCGAGGGAACTAGCGTTTGAATCCTAGCTTAAACGAAGAGTAAGGCAATGGAAAATCTTACTACTACTATTGCTCCATTAAAAATAAATCTTGGGACTTAAATACCTTGAAGGCACCAAATCTGACTTTGGAAGTTAAACAGGGTCAGTCCTGGTTACTGAAACCGTGACATTTCAGAGCAGGTATGGGCAAATTTGGCCCCTCCAAGTGTTTTGGACTTCAACTCCCACAATTCCCAACAGCCTCGGGCCCTTTCCTTTTACCTCCAGCCGCTTAAGCGGAAAGGG